CTTCATCTCTTCGTATTTTCTTTTCGTCCTCTTCGGTCTTCCTACAGTATATTTTCTTTGTACCTGTACACTGTCTATATTTACATTATAAAGCTCGACTCGCGGAGCTCGTTTATTTGCACAGGTCGTTATTTTATCCTCTACCTATAGGTATAAATTGGATAGTTTCTTATGAAAAGTAACAATAAGAGAAAAAAAGAAATCACGCATCAACGTGATCTCATATTTATTTACAATAAAATTATTTGTTTCAACCGTACTTTCAAGCATTTTTAGTTGAATATAAAATGTATTATATGTTTTATATATAATTACATATATATAATTATACATATATAATTATTATATGTAATTATATATATACGCGCGTAGAGATGTAAAACACACAAATCTCTGTAAGAGTATCTACATCAATATGCACGTGCACACAAATTATACACAAATAGTTTAATTTTGATATACTATGCAATCGCACGTGCATCGTATATTTTCTTCTTTTTTGCAACAAGCAGATATACATATATGTATACATATATGGATATATATACATATACCTTCTTGTTCATACAATATATCGATGGATATGTACAGTTTTATTAATTAAACTATAGCTGCACAAACTGCAATAATTTTTACAATTGTCCTTAAAAACAAATGGTAGACTGTGGATCACAGTGATTATTAGCATATATACTTTTCTCTCATGTAGATCGATGTTTATACCATATTAGTGGCGATTATATGAGGAATTTGTATAACTAAGCTACAGCAATATAAATTATAAGTCACTCTCTCTTTGTAATTATTTGAAATAATTCCACACATGGGAACAGAGGAGTGAAGCATATAATTAACCCTTTAACTACAAATGCAAGGTAACATTTTATAGAAATTTAAAGAATTTTTCGCAATAGAAACAAACAAAATAATTAATTTTTACATGTCGTTCTTTTATATTAATTAACGCGAAAATAATATAAAGTCATAATTACATACTACATTTCTATTTAATTGGTTTGAAATCTTAAGAAAAAGCCATTTTACGTGCAAGCAGCCAAAGGGTTAAATAATATAACATTTCTTTGTGACGAATTATTATCACTAGGGAATTTCTGTGTATATAAAAGGGTACATATATTTAAATATGTCTCACACAGGCAGTCTATAAAATTAAATCGTTTATAAATAATAAACAATTTCTGCAGAGCGAAGTAGCACGAACAGAGAACGACGTTTCGTGCTTCTCTATTTTCCGTTGTTCTGCCATCGTCGTTTCGAACGACTGTGAACGAAACTAAAATTAACTCGTTGATTCATTAGGAATTAAAAAAGAAAGGAAGGTCGGCATGCGAACGAGGATCGCCAGGAACACACAGAAATATCAATATACTACTTTCCTTCATCGTTTCACCTTCTTTTCAAGAAAGATTCGTTTTGACGATGCAACTTTTTCGCTAAAGAAAATAAATGCCAAGCACAATTCGTCGTACACAGCCGTCTACGTGTTTAAGCAAATTAGTTTTCTAGTAACAGCGCTGGGATATACGTGTCTCAGCAATCTCATAGATTAGATCTCTCTTTATCTGTATTACTTACCCTCCGACATCTGATAAATCGTCCTTGTGGGGACCTCCTTTATTCGGGAAGGGAAGAAGAGGCATCTTCGCCGCAGCACTCTCTTGCTGTTCCCGTAATAAGCGTTTTCGCTTTTTACTCCAGAGCTCATGACAATCTTGCCAAGTCGGAAGCTGTGGTGCTGGCATCCTAATATATTATGAAAGCGTGATGCATTTTACGAATAGGATTTTAACAGAGATATAGTTTGCAAAACGGAAAATTGATCAAAATCGTAACATATTTTTGACTATATGAGCATGGACTGCTAATTGACTGCATATCCTATAATATAGAAATGAGCGAAAAATATTTTCCAATATGTAATGATTGTTTGATTAAGTAACGCGACATCAAATATCCCACACGCACAATTATGCTTTACATACAAATTTTACAAGTTTTTCTTAATTTTAATTTTTGTAATAAAATATTTATCAATATATCTCTTACTGGCGACAGTTTTTAATTTTATTAAATAGTTGATATTTGATTTGCGCAAAGTATATTCATTTTTATGAGCCATGTATGCGCAATTAAATTTCTTCTATTCTGGAGTCTTTACAATTTCCATTCTGTTCTAATAATATGTATGCAGAATGAAAATTTATTACTGCTCTGTTCTTTCTTTTTCTACACACATAGTCATGTAACAATATATATTGGAAGAGTAGCGCAAAGAAATTTCAGTTCATAAAAAGAGATGAATATATAGTCTAGAATAGGAAAATTTTGAACCGAATATCTAATTTTTTTTAATTCTTGATCAATTGCAATATTGAATGCCGCGCGACTATAACAATTAACAGTTCATACTTATATAATCAAAGGATAACATACTGTTCAGGCTGAACATTCTTCAGCCAAGCGCTCTTGAGCGCGTCGGCTGCCGTTATTCGCTTCTCAGGATCTAATTCCAACATCTTATCGAGGAGATCCAAGGCAGGCCCTGGCATAAACGAGAAATCCTCCCTCAGACGTCTTCTATGCTGCTTTTTTGGCTTAAGTGTATGCCAGTGCGGTAATTTTATCACAGAAGGCCAAACAGCGGGAGTTGGAGTTCCACAAACCCTCGAAATCATCTCCAGCTGCATCATATCTACATTGGCCTGCGATAAAGAATTTAATTATTAATATTGATAATAACATTTAGCCTCTCTTCTTTTATTCAGCTTAATGGATGATTACGAGATATGTACAATATTTACCTGGAACAACGGTTTCTTCGAGAATAATTCTCCCAAGATACACCCACAACTCCACACGTCAATTGCGGGCCCGTAACGTTCCTCCCCTAGCAAAAGTTCGGGAGGTCTGTACCATAGAGTGATCACCTTGTTAGTGTATGGCCTCTGTCTGTCCTCCGCATTATATAATCGTGCCAAACCAAAGTCGGCCAGTTTAACCTCGCCCCTAATTAAAATTATACGATTATATACAATTATCAGTAAAACAAATCTATTTAGATTCGTTAAAAATCACACACGTACTTATTATTCATCAATATATTCGAGCATTTAATATCTCGATGCAGAAAATTTTTGCTATGACAATAATTCAAACCATCCAGCAATTGTTTCATGATACTGGCGTTATTCATCTCGTTGAAATCCACCATACCGGATTCCAGTAGGCCCATTAAATCATGATCCATGTATTCGAAAACTAAATAAAAAGAACCTTTATCCTGAAACAGATGAAGAACGATACACAAGTTGATAGAGATATTCTGTACTCTTGTTTATTAGACATTGATTGAAAAATATCGATATTGTGATAATTATATATTATGTTGATTACTGATATTTCATTTTGTATATACAATATTTTTAATAAATAAAAAAATATCGACAAATATATAAATATAGGAATCCTATTAGAGAAATTACACATTATTTCAGCTAAAAAGATACCTTTCGAAAGTCCAGTGCATCTTGCTTATCGGTGACTATTTCTCTAAGATTAACAATGTTTTTGTGATTCAGTTGTCGCAGAATTTTTATTTCTCTGACCGCCGTGACGGGGAAGCCCTCTTTCTCGTTCTCAAGGCGAACCTTCTTCAAGGCTACCAGTACTCCTGCTCGTTTGTCTCGTGCCTTATACACCTGTCCGTAAGTACCTTCTCCGATTTGCGTTATAAACTCGAACACGTCGACGCATCGTTCTCCCCAATCTTTGCCGCCAGAGGCTGACATGGGAGCATGACAATTTCGCGATCCTCTGCGCTTTAGTATTTTCGGTCTCTTCAGCTTGGGTTTTGGCGCCACTCGTTCAAGCTTCAAACGTGGCGGCGTCGCATTCGGATCGTCCTCGCCACTCAAGTCTTCCGATCCAGGTACAACTGCAGAAGTCACATGATCAATGATAAGTTAAAATTAATATATACAAGTGATAAAAATTAAAAAAAAAAAGAAAAACTTACCTGGTGGCATCGGCAGATCCTTGATGCCCTTCTTTTGCGGTGGCTTCGGCGTCGATACCGTTGCAAACTTGGACTGCGTTTTGCTGGGAGGAGTTGGAGATCGACTCGGCGGGGAATCTATGCTCTCCAGATCGTTCTGATTGATGCCGGGTGGCATTGGTAATCTCTTCAGACTTTTGGTCGTGAACGTTACTATGGGAGGTTTGGGAGGATCCACCGACTTCAGTGGCACAAGATTGTTAGGCGGATTGAATTTGGACATAATTGTGGGCGCCGGAACAGGAATCGGTGGCGGTGGGACAGACATGTTGGGTAAAGTCGGTGCCGGTGGAATCGGCGGCACCGACATGGGCACAACGGGCGCAGGAACTTGCGGTAAGACTGTCGACACGGCTTCGACGGATTGCGGCAGTGGTGGTGGAGGCGGTAGCGGCGGCTGTACACCAGGAGCGGGAGCTGAAAAATTCGGGCTGTGCGATATGGTGATTGGACAGTTATTGGGTGGCATCGATGACGATAATGATGATGTATTGGGCGAGGTATGTATAATCGTGTGAGGAACAAGGGGATTTGCCACCACGCCGGACGTCGGATTGGATGCAACAGCTGCGACAGATGTTTGACCGATGGGTGGCAACGGCGGTGTTTTGCCCGCTAAAACACCATCGTCGCTTGTCGTCGGGACGGGAATGTCGACAACGTCGACCGCGCTCTCGGGAGCCTTCGCTTGTTGCTCCTTGTGATTGATAGGTCTGTCCTTATTGTCAGTGGAGGAAGTTTTATTCTCGGAGGACACGTTGCTGCCGCCATCCCTCTCGTCGGTACCCTCTATAATCTGCACTTCATCCTGATTCACAGCTTTCTCCTTCGCGGCCTGTAACTTCTTGTACGCCAGCTCCCTCATATTTCGATCCTTCACGAGCTCTGCGAACAGACTAGTCTCGCTAATCTTCGCCTGTACTCGAAGATTTCGGGCGGTGATGCTCGACGGACTTCTGGCCCGCGATCTATGAGGGGAAGGAGAAGGTATTCGAGGACGCGGACTTTTCGATTTGTGTTTTCTAAGCAACTTGTGAGATTTGCTGGGTGAGCGCGACTTCTTCGGAGTGCGGCTCCTCCTGCGCGATCGCGACCTTGAACGAGATAGCTTTCGCCATCTTGCCTGTGGACTGCGAGACCGCGATCGAGACAAAGGCAGATGTAATCTGAAATGGAAACAGGGTCGTCACGCCCGAATGTATTACAAGAAATTTACTTATGCATCTTTGATACATACATATAAATATATACATAAAGAAAAACAAAAAATAAATTTAAAAAAAATTTTTAAGACCTGCTTCCAGTAGGACTCCTAGTTGATCTCGATTTCCGTTTGTCCCGCCTATCCTTGTCGTGATGACGGTGGCGTCGATCGGATTCGTCTCGCCTTCTGCGCTTAGGAGAACTGACGCTATCCGTTCTCCGCCTGTGACTGCCCACGGGGCTCGGGCTAAACTCTCGTCGTCTAACCGCGGTAGGACTCGGACTGTGCCTGAGTCTATGAAGCACCGGAGTGGGACTGAAGTCTCTTCTTCGCGGAGGCGGACTATGATCCCTGCGTCTCGACGGTGGACTGGGACTATGCGGTCTTCTACGACTCGAACCGATGGGCGTCGGACTCATGCTGCTACGTCGCATCACGTGAATACTAGGACTACGTTTCTGCCGATCGGGACTGTGTTTCGGCATGGAGGACATGACCTTGTTCAAGCTCTCCGGCGTCGTGGCGCGGGGAGGCAACAGCGGCGTGTGCGGCGATTCCGTTTGCCGTGTCTGCAGGAGAGAGGGTGGCGTCACGTTGCGCGACGTCTGCCTCGACATCTCCAGGTCCACGTCGTCGCTGGGACATCGGTGCTCCTGCGGAGTCGCCGGCGAGATCGGCGACGTGCTGTCCTTCAACGGCAACGGCGGCGATTCCGACCAATTTGTGGGACCGGCCGTCGACGATTGCTTCTCGCGATCCGGACTCAGAACGTCCTCGCCGACAGCGTGGTGCGGACTCACGCTGACGGAATGTCTCTTGGATTTTCTCTTCTTCTTTTTCCCCGAATTCGACAACGGGCTCAGACTCCTCTTCTTCTTCTTCTCGCGTTTGTGCTTCTTCTCCTTTCGCCGGGCGTATCGTCTCGATTCCTCCTCGTATTCCGGCGTCGTTGCACCGTGCATCGTAGCTGGCTGCTGCTGCTCATTCGGCGAGTAACATCTACCGATGGCGTGTCGATGAACCGGTGGTGACGGCGACAGGCTGATGGGTGACGCACCGAGGGCTCGAGGTACCGGGCTACCGCCATAGTATCGCCTCTGAAGAAGCGATTCAGGTACTTCCCCATCCGTGTAACTATTGGCGCGACTATCCTCCGATTGTATCTCTCCGGCTTCCGGCTCAGAAAGATCCTCGCTGCTTACGTCGGAGTACTCAACTAATGGTTTGACAACTGAAGAAGCTACAGTAGGCACATTCTCCAGTGATTTGTCGCGGGAACGTTTCTTCTTCTTCTTCCCGGAATTCTTGCTCTTGCCATGCCGTCTGTGTCGCTTATCAGCACCGTCAAAGGTGTGTCGGTTCACGTCGCTGCTCGTGCTGCCTCTTCTTCGCGAGCGAAATCTCCCATTACGTTCCGCCCGTTCGATATCACGAGTGCTAGGCATGTCACCTACTAAAAATAAGGCAGATATCAATATTTATGATACATATATTGGCTATGTTCAGCAGAAAAAGCAGCTTTGCAACAGTTGTAAAATTTGTGAATCCAATTGGTGTATGCTCTTGATCTTAGCTGAATCTAAGAGTATACTAATCAGATTCAACAGTTACAACAGTTTACAACAGTTGTAAAGCAGCTTTTTCTGTTCAACGCAGCCATTAATCGCATAAATGGCACTTTGCATTTCTTTTCAATACATGAATGTGATAATAAAAACAAACTGTTGCAGACACAAATAAATTTAGATAACAAATCTCACATACATGTTATTAGTTATCATTTGTCGCAGAAGATATCACTAACTAATTCATGAGATATGCATGTGTATGTATGTATACATATATCTACATATGTACAGGTTGAGTTCAATCACAAATATTTCAAGGCGTATATACGCATTTTCTTTTTATTGGTCAAAAATATATATAGAAACTACATGTGCGATAACAATTTTATTCTAGAATACTCCAGGTGGCTTTACATCTCACTGTGTTTTTCAACAGTCATCATCTTGAGGTTCCACGGGCGGAGGAAGGGGACGGAAATATAGGAGCCACGAGGTTCCGTCTGACTTACCCTGGCATCGGTGGAAACTCAACAACAATCGGAAGTGACGGTATCGTTCCGACGTGTTCCGACACAGTCTCGAGGCCGATCGTCATGAATATGTACACTCACGATATATATACACTCTCCTCAACAATCCCTCATGCACGTAAGACGCACACGCGTCCGCGCTCGCTCACGCACACATCGACATATATATTATGTGTATATATATATATTTATATGTATATGGGCGATATCGCGAGATGACGCGATTATCCTGCGCGCGAGAGAGCGAGCGAGCGGTCGCGCTTTATTCCATCCGGATCGAGGACGAGAAAATATCGTTCGGCGGAAGGCAAGGCGGGAAAATCAGCGCTGGACTAAGAGGAAGTGACAAAACGCGTGGTCACGAATCTCTCGGGCGAGCCAGCGCGGCCGCCATTGCTCTCTCTAAGCACACGGACTCGCCCAGTTTCTTCTTCCGGGGGAGAGGAGAAGAAAGTTGGACGGTACGTGTATGGGAGATAATTCGGGGGTCGTAAATTCGTGTACTCACGTGCGATATAGATCTTGCGACGTCTGCGTGGCGAGCTTCGCTGTTGCTCGCATCAGGCTCGAAATCCAGCACCAGGGGTTTCGACGAAACGGATCCCCGACGTGTTCCCGTTCTCGTCGCTTGCCTCTTGCCCGAATTTTTCCTCTCCTAGTTCCTCTCTGCGCGCAGCAAATTTCTTTCAGCACATAATTCGCGGACGACCGAGGCGTTTCTCGCCGGAGATTTAGCTCTATCGCGATCGTACGGCGCTCAGGCGATCATATTTTTATGATTCTGGCGGCCGATCGCATCATATCGCATGTATTTTCTTTGGATTGGATTTTCGGCTCGAGATCGTGAAATCCTAGCTCGACCGAGTGGAAGCCATTTACCATTTGGCACGTCATTTCGTGACGTAACGAGCTGCGCGACAGTGGCGTCGCAAAGCGGTGGAATGCGATAGGTCGATCGAAAAGGGGCGAGCAACCTCGCAGGACGCTTCGATTGGACAGCTCAGTATTCGACGAGCCAATCGGCTTGCTGGAATTTCTAGGGAATTTTCAGCGACCAATGACACGGCGAATCTTGATCGAGATCAACCAATCGTCTCTCGATACGTATCAATTTTCTTTCCAAAGAGGAATAATCGAATAAGAAAATTGGCGAAATGTGTCATATGAAATTATTTATGAATTATATTATTCAATCAATCGAGACTTTTTTATAATTTATATAATAATAATAATAATAATAATAATAATAATAATAATAATAATAATATTAATAATAATAATAATTATTATTATTATTATAATAATATAATAAAAATAATATATAATAATATAATATAAAATAATATAATATAAAATAATACAATATAAAATAATATAATATAAAATAATATATATAATATAATATATAATATTTTATTTTTATTATTTTTTTTCGAATGACAGACGACAGGTACAACGAGACTCTTCGATCGGGTTGCTGCGCATGCGCGAGTTCCTTTCGCGGCAAACGTAACCTATAAAAATACTTTTAATTGTAATTGAGATATAGCGAAATCGCGAGGAGGCTTAGTTTAGAAAAATGGGCGAACGCTACAACATTCACAGTCAGTTGGAGCATCTGCAGTCTAAATACATCGGCACAGGACACGCGGACACGACTAAGTTCGAGTGGCTTGTGAATCAGCACCGGGACTCCTGCAGCTCGTACATGGGACATTACGATCTGCTCAACTTCTTCGCGATCGCCGAGAACGAAGCCAAGGCGCGAGTCAGATTCAATCTCATGGAGAAGATGCTGCAACCCTGCGGACCCCCGCCCGAGAAGCCGGAGGATTAAACTTCCCTTTGTCGTTGCAAACGTGTTCTTTTTTTTAAGTGATAAAAAAACTGTATTAATCGCACAATAGTTATTTCGAGGAGGATTAAACTCTAGCAAAAATTAGATAACAACGTGGATGCATAACCTCGATTATAGATTTGTATTAACAAAGATACATATAAAGACATTTTTGTATAATCTTACCTAGTTTCTCAAATCAATTATATAATAAGATTTTGTAATTTATCATCGATAGTTATATTAAGAGAAATCAAGATGCCTATTTCTTGTTCTACAAAGTGTGGGAAAGATGCTATTTTAAAGGTAAAATTTTCACAAAATTTTATTACTTGAAAATATTTATATAAATTGTTATTATTAAATGGAATTGAATGTGTCTTTTAGAGGCCAAAAACTGGTGATACGTTATGCAAAGATTGCTTTTTTTTGGCATTTGAGACTGAGATTCACGATACAATTGTCAATGGTAAACTGTTCAAACCTGGTAACAAAGTTGCCATTGGAGCATCAGGTGGAAAAGATTCTACTGTACTTGCATATGTTTTAAAGACTCTGAATGAAAGGCACAAATATGGATTAGATCTATTTCTTTTATCCATTGATGAAGGAATTACTGGTAATAAAACACATTCACACATATAGACATAAATATTTAATTTAATATATTTTATAAAATGCATTATTGTGTAGGATATAGGGATGATAGTTTGAAAACTGTGGCACAGAACAGAGATGATTATGGCCTTCCACTTAAAATCTTATCATACAAGGAATTATATGGATGGACAATGGATTCTATAGTTACTGAAGTAAAATATATCAAATAATATAAGTTTAAAAGTTCTAATTAAACACACATTGTGATAAATATATAATTGTATTTTAGATTGGTCGTAAAAACAATTGCACATTTTGTGGTGTTTTTCGAAGACAAGCACTAGATAGAGGTGCTGCAATTTTGGAAGTAGATTGCATTGTAACAGGTCATAATGCAGATGATATCGCTGAAACTGTGTTAATGAATATCTTAAGAGGAGATATTGCTCGATTGCAGAGATGTACATCTATAATCACTGTAAGACCATCATTGCATATATATACAAAAGAAAATTTTGATAAATTAAAAACTGATTTGTAAATATGTTAATACAGGCTGGTGCAGATTCCATCATGCGTTGTAAACCACTGAAATATGCATATGAAAAAGAAATTGTCATGTATGCATATTTTAAGCAACTAGTATATTTCTCCACAGAATGCATATATGCTCCAAATGCTTATAGAGGTTATGCACGAGCTTTTCTAAAGGATTTAGAAAAAATGAGACCTTCATCCATTATAGACATAATACATTCTGGTAAAAGTTTTTCGTTATATTTTATTGTAGCATTTTTATTATGTAAACTAAAGATAATTATATTGTTATATATTATATATCAGGTGAGCAGTTGCAAGCAAATGATAATGTAAAGATGCCAGAAAGAAGGAATTGTATTCGATGTGGATTTGTTTCAAGTCAAGAAATATGCAAAGCATGTGTTTTGTTGGAAGGTTTGAATAGAGGACTGCCGAAACTCGGTATTGGCAAATCTAATAAAGTTAAGAAAATAATGGAGTTGGACACAGATAAGAGAAATGGACAGCAAAGTATAGATTTTTGAGATTTTCATGTATCAAAATATATAGAAGGTAATGTACAATATATATTCTTACAGAAAATACTTTTTATTTCTCTTTCGTCACAATTATTGAAAAAATATTTCATTACTGATATTTTGGTTCAAATAAAAGATTATTGTGTGTATATATATATATATATATATATATATTATATATATATATAATTTTTTTATTGACGCTAACAAAAGCAATTTTTACTTTTTTTGTGGTATAAACATTTTTCAAATATATTAACATTGGATATTAAAACTTGCATATTGCCAAATATCAAAATCAAATAGAGCAATATCATTTTGGCTTTATCACTTATTGCTTTTGTATTATTTTTTTTACTACAATAGAAATATTTGTTTTATAAATATTATAAACATATCAAAATTTATACTATATAAGCTGCTGCTCTTTGGGTGATCTCTGTTCTGCAAATGGGGCAGTTATTATTGATGCTAGCTGAACAATCTTCACATATGCATACATGGCCACAAGGCAACAGGATAATTTCGCGAGCATTTGTATTGCAAACCACACATATCTGATCTTCTCTGAGATCTCTATCTCGGACTCTTTGACGTCTTTCTTGACGAGATGTCTCAAGCGATTGTCGTAACTGTTCTACCATTCTTTGCTCCTGTTTATTCTTCCAGTAACGTCTTGCCATGATTCCTCCGAGAAATAATCCGATTGTGCCACTTATTACACAAAATATCCTATATTTATGCAGAAAGTTATGCATTTAATTACATATTTAATTTTATTAATAGATATAAATTTTTAAAAAATTTATACATACCTGTATAACTTCTTACGATCATCTAAATTCCGTATCAAAGTGGTGATTGACATGCTTGTTATATAAAAAGGCGATCCATTTAATGGAGATTGCAAATTAAGAATGTCAGATTTAGTTTGTGATCTTGAAAGCTCACCTACTGCTGTAATAACTGAATTTTCACGTAACATTTTTTCTGTAGACTGTATGCCACGTTGTCGCACTCCTAATAATTAATAAGATTATAAAATGTAAGTTTTGACAAAATTTGGTACTTTATAAATAATGTAATTCAAAATTTTATATAAGAAAAATAAGCAATCTCAGCTTATTACCTGTGAAAAATCCCCATATAAGATCCACAAATGTAGGTACACTAGGTTCAAAACGATCAGAAATTATATCCAAGTCTAAGATATCAGCAGATAATGGATCTATAATTTCCACAGAGTACCATCCTTTTTGTAAAACAAATGGTACCACACGATATACTTTCTGAATTATTCGTTCATGAGCAGACCTATAATATTATAATCAGTTGGATTGATCAATTAAGAAAGTAATGCTAACAGAATCAACAAAATTATTCGTATTCACTATCATTAATAAGATCATTTATAAATGTATGCCTTACCAGAAACCAGTAGATGTTCTAGCGATAACATGTTCACTAACTCTAAACTTCTGTATAACTCCAGTAACATCTTTTTTATTAATACTTTGCAATGCTTCTCCTAATGGTTTCACGATTCCTCTGATAGCAATATAATCTATTTTGTTATTTGGACTGTTATCTATTAGATTTGTCAGATCTGGTCCAACGTCATACAGTTCGACACTCTGCAAAATACACACAGTTTCTACCAGTTTAGCTTAGAGATATTTTAACGTATTTCTATTTTAATTGTAATGTGGTTAAACATTTTAAATCGAATAATTTTGACATTACCTTAACTGCATCAATCGAATTCTTGTAGTGGATATATTGTTTTAAACAAATAGCGAATACGACGGTGTCAATTCCGAGAGCAACTATTTCGCCTAAATACTCCATGATTAGATTATTTTTAGACGCATCTTCCCAATCTTCACAAATTTATTTTTGTTAGATTACATCAAAATAAGTCATCTCGAAAAATTTTTCAGATTGCAAAAAATCTGGCAGGAGATAGGAAGGGACACTGCCACGTATTTTTCTTAGATCGTTGCGCTGTCATCTGATACCAATGATTCGTACAAACGAACTAAAATCTATTCATATATTTATTAGATAAATGCACTACACAACATGGTTATGTTTGAAGATGTAAAAATCATCGGAGATCCAAATTACGTTTGATCGACCAATCAGAATGAACGAAGCGAAGACTTCTTTCTCATTGGCTACTTGAGAGCTTTTCTATCCGATGAATATATTTCCGAACACAACTAAAATGAAAGATCTTTTTTTCGACTTGATAAAATTACTGCTTAGTCGCGCGTGATTTTTTCTTCAATTTATATATATATATATATATATATATATATTATTATTAAAATATTTTTACACACACATGTAGATGACACACATATTCTTAATAAGAAAACGATTTTTCGAAAACATCTTCAGAGAAAGAGAGAGAGAAATATGCGCCTTTTCTCTCGCTTCACCGTGCTGCGAAGTGGGGATGTTGGGGGGGGGGGGAACTGACATGCGCAGCTGTTCTCCCACTCACCCGCACGTGACGCGTAACGTGCCGCTACTAGCGTCACCTGGAGGTCAAATAGTGTTTCCCTATAGCCTCATCACGACGAGACATCCCGTAACCTGTGTTATATTTTAATTTTATTTGTATGTATGACGATCCTATTGCTATATTACATTTCTTCCCGAAGAATACATCATCTGTTTATGCATATATGTGCGTACTATAATGGATCTTCGCGAAATAAATGGTCAATATCGATGTTACAAATTCGTCAGTTTCTATTTCCAATTTGCCTTTATCGAAATGTATATGCACGCATGATTTAAATATGCATTGAAATATAGACGCCGGCCAACTTCAACTTGCCCTAAAATATAATTATAAAATAATATAATCTATATTGTTCATAATACGTAATATTTGCATATGTATATTTCGGATAAGTTTTGAAGTAAACCGGCCGAGATATCCTAGCCATTTTTAGCGCCACATAATAGTCGGCGTCACTTTGTAGTTTAGTCAGTTATAAGCTTATATAAATGATCACACGTGCCATGATTTTTAGGTTATATTAGTCTTCTAGGTTAGAAACTTTTATTATATTCACGGTTTTTAACATTACAATAGAAAACATTTGAAAACATTAGTATGTATACTACAGAAAATAAAAATGCAATAAGTAATATAATTAATAAACTTTTAATTTGATAGATATGCTTAGCATTATTAAAAATTGATACTCGAATGCAACGAAGAAAACTCGAATTTTAACTAACTAAAAATGAAATAATTCAATTTCTTAAAATTTCAGAAAGAATAGAGGAAGATAACAATTGTGTACAAAAATTTATATTTGTAGAATGTACAATCTTAGGAGATGTCTGATAGCCTCGATGAAGATTCATTGGGAACTTTTGATGCAAAAATCAAGCCATGAAAGTATTTTATCACCTAAGATCAATTGCTGTACAGGCACTTGTATTTGGAATAATACGATGTACAAACGATTTTATTGCCAGAGCGTGGTTCAAGACAAGAAGACAAAGGCATTGCAAGATTATGCGCAGCAGAAACTTGATGATCTTTTATTGGATCCTGAGTACAAAAAACGCTATCAATTGTTAGAATTAGAATTAAGCAGAATGCAGTATGATGGTCTGAAAGTTCCTACAAAACTTAGACCAAATGATTGGTGGATATTGTTAAAACAACAGAGCAAGAGGCAAAGAATGTAAGTACTTTATATTTCTCTTTAGAAAATACTTTTATTAGAGTAATTTTGATTAGGTCTTTAAATAATATCTCGATTAAGATGTATTTATTTTATTAACATTGTACAGGAGATATCTTTACTATTTGTGGTGCAATGAGGTAATAAAGGAAAATTTTAAAATGAGAAAGGTGAATAAGAAGGCTCAGTTGCTCGCTGCACAGGCAGAAGCTAACCAAACAAAAGATACTAGTGAAATAAAATATGCAAGTAATAAAATGTTTCGAGCTGTATATCAAAAAACTATGAACCAATATAATAATGCTAAATTAATTCAAGCTATAATGTTTGCACCGAAAGTTGTGTTTGATTGTAGCTATGAGAGTCATATGAACTATTATGAAATCCACAATTGTGCTAGACAAATGACTCTGGCTTTTGCCGAGAATCGTGCTCATGTCGATCCTTTGTGTCTTTATTTTTGTAATTTGAACAAAGAAGGATTGCTTATGGAGTGCTTTCATCGCAATATACCTACCTTATTGGATCCCGAGTTTCCAGCGATTGTGACATCACAATCTTACTTAGATTTGTTTCAGAAAGATCAATTATTGTATCTTACTCCACACTGTAAAACTGATATAACTGAATATGATTCTGACACCATATATATCATAGGTGCAATGGTAGACAGAGTTAGTTGATATAAAATGTTCTTTATAAATGAGATACATACATATATAAATATATATTACATATCCTGTAAGTTATATCTATTAAGTAAATTTCTTATCAATTTTCTAGGGTAAACCAGCACCTATATCCTTGGCAAAAGCCAAGAGGGATGGAATTCGCACGGGAAAATTGCCATTAGAAAAATATCTCGAATGGTCTTCTGGTTCTAAATATCTTCCACTTAATCAGATGATAAATATATTATTGGATATAAAATGCACAGGAGATTGGGACAAAGCATTCCAGCATGTGCCAAACCGAAAATTAAAAGATATCAGAGATATAAACTATAATAGAAATTTATACTCGAAAAAGATGAAAAGTCAAGCATCGCCCACGAAAAAAATTGATCCATTAAATTTTGCATTTAAGAATAAAAAACAGAGTTGATTATAACATCATAAAAGGTAACTTTTGCGATTGTATATATGTGAATATGTATGCAATGTATATTGATACAATATATAAATGTATAATAAATTAATAGGGAGGGGGATGATTCTAAATTATTATATTGTTACAAAACTTTTACATACACGTATCCATTTTTAATTGCATTTATAATTTTATTTCAAATTATTTTTTTCAAATTAATAAAATTTACAGAAACAATTTCCTATTTATAAATTTTATAAATTTAATATTTAAAGTGTAATATATAATCTTTTGAATTTTATGCTTCTAATCTCGTGTATGAAAAAAAACGACTATTCATTCTAATATTCTTTCGGAAGGAGGGCAGATAGACTTTTTATAATGCTACTATGTGATATTTGCCTTTGCAACTAAAATGTCACTCGTCATATTTTTTTCTTCTCTAATGTTTTATAAAGATACAGAATATTAAATATATGAGCTATATTAAATTCAATGGAATCAAAATTTTGAATTAAGTGAATAAAATGTACTGAACTTTCTTAAATAATATAATTTTTAATGCATGGATACTTTCGACTTTCCAAATGTTTTTTTAATTTATATTTTCTCTGTACGAGAATATTGTCTTTAACATATATATCATTTGCTGAATATTTTAACAAATATTAGTTTGAATACAGAAAATAATATCAGAAGTTTTATTTTAGTTCTAATATATGAATTTTTCACATACATAATGATATCTCTTCTCTTTCCATCAATTTTAGTGAGCGCTATATATTTGAATTGACCTGAATTTAATTATTATATATATAATCTCTAGTTTATGCATTTATAATTATATTATATATTTATAATTCTTATTCGCGTAGGCGAAGAAATACGATAATTCCTAATCTTTGATTTTCCTTTCATTTAGGTACTTTATCCTCGGAGAAAACGAATGATTCAACTTTGAAGAAGAGGTTTTCTTTCTGCGCACCTCAAATGTCTTCAGGGTCAGTTATGCGCGGCCGTCAAACATTCGTGAATGAATCGTATTGCGTGACGTCATTGTCAGCCAACGTAGCTGGCCAGCCGGTTTGTAAGGCTCGTCCGTGACAGAGGGTGGCGAATCCATGAGGTGGCGCGTGCGCCCTCCTGTCACGCGATGCATCCGAAGAAACACGGATGCCAGCCACGGGGCGGGCAAGCAAGCAGCCAGACAGGCAGGCTCCGTCGTCGTTTCTTTTATTTTTTTTCGTCACCGTCCGCGTTTCGGTGTGAGAGAGCGGCAGCAACGAGAGAAATGCAACGGCGAGAAGAAGCTACGAAGATCGGAAAATATCGCCCTCACAACTGAAGAGATTCCGTCACTCGCGCGCTTCCCTTCCCTGCGGACAAACGGCCACCACCGTAACGCATCCATTTAGGAGCTGTTAGTGTGATTCATCCCGTGAATTTCCCAGAGGGATTTATTCATTCTAGTATCGCATTTCTTTTTTTCCTTCCTCTCAGTAGCAAGAAGAGAAAAAGAGAGAGAGAGAGAAGAGCGTCTGCGCTCCGATCTGTTCAGTGTGTTCTATTCGAATTGATCGATAATACAAATCCAGGATAATTGGGTCGCGCGCGACTAATCGCGACCTGAATAACATATAGAATTGCGCTTCCATCTGCGAGGAGGAAAGTGTTAGGAGGTGGAGGTGGATTTTCGCCGGGGAGAGAAGCTTTTATAATTTACATTGGATATTTGTTTTTATGCCTTGGGCTACCTCTACATATATGATGAAATTGCAGCTGCTGGTTATCGAGACGGATTATTGCTGGAGGAAAGCGTTGCTTAGGTAAGCGATCATCTGTTTTTCCACAAGTACTTTTCCATATACATATACTTCCTTTCTGCTCTTTAATATAGCATCGCTTTGCATTAGCAATTTTTAATTGTGCAAACGACACCAGTAATTAAATGAATATGTCATTAATGTCAGAAAGACCGAAATTGTTTTTCTGTCGTTTATTAATATAGGACATTCTACCATTAGTTAAATTTATTTCGGTAAATTATTTGATTTTATTAGATGTTTATTTTTTCACGTGTGAAAACTCTAAATTGTCAGTTCATCTAATTAAACTCTTACAGATTAATTTAGGTTCACACGATGAAAAGGAGAAAAACAATGATTTAGATAGCAAATTTAATAGCAACATTTACACATTTGCACAAGTGCAAGCTTAACAATTGCAAACTTTGTAGCGCAACGTTTTTTTATTTCATGCTTATTGTTCTCATTTGTAAATCTGAGATCGCAAAACTTATTGTCAGTTATATATCATGTTACGCATTATTTTATTATTACAGTTACATTACGCATTATCCGATAATCGCACGAAGAATGGATCATATATCATGCGGCCGCATTTGTGCTTCGAAGTGATTTCCGAGCAGTATTAAGCAGCATCGATAATGTACCTCATCCGCTTTGAATAAAGCAATATTTTCATCGCTAATATTCCATAAAGTACCACCATTTTCCATCGTGTTCATCTCTTATTCAGTATGTATAATATATTTTTTTCATTAGGCACTTTCGTGCTTCATAATATCGCGAATGTCTCTTACTGTCTGTAACGAGACATAAAAATGTTAACAATTAGTAAATTAATTATTTTTATCCTTTTCATTTTTGTCTGCTAAAAAAGCGAGATAATCAATTTGTCGGTCTTTAATTGATTCTTTAGTATTGTGAAAAATATTAAAAAAATATGAATTAATGGTGTCAACATATTGACTAGCATTTCTAATGTTTTATTTTTAATGATACATTTATTTTTTATAGATTCCATTTAAAATTAGGATTGAAATAAACTTTAATTTTGTAATTTAAGATCAAATATTTTTTTTATCTATTTTAATCAAAATAGTTTACTTTTTTTAATTTATACAAAACTTACATTGTTTATTTATAACTTTTATTATAAAAACTTATATACTTAAAAGTTTATTTTAATTTATATTTAAACAAATATATTTTTTTAATGTATACATTTTTAATATTATACTTTCAATATAAAAGTTACTAAAATTTCTTCCTAGAATAAATAATCTACGTTTATTTGATTGATTAATTAATTATTTAAACGTTAAAAACAAATAAAATAAATAACAAAAATTAAATAATACACTTTTGAATCATATAATTATTTGTATCATTAATAATCTTGAAATTTTAATTTATGTTTTCTGAATTTTAAATAATTTATAATCATTTTCGAACGATTGGCGCGACGATAAATTCGAATTTTCGCGGGCAAGTGTCTGGCGGTAATTCTCGTGGCCGCCACTAGTGGCGCTCGTGTCGTCTCTTTTGAGACGTCTCACGCGCATGCGTAGTCGAGGGTGGGAGAGTGGGGGGAACGTACGCGAGCTGGTACGCCGTACCAGTCGTCAGTGCGTGCGACGGCGGTCCGGACGTGTGAGTGTGTACGGATCGCCGCCGGTGGCGTCGTCCGAGTGATCGTCACGGAACTGAACTAAGCGGAGCGTTCGTTTATTTACGTGTGTATGCGTGTGTGTATTTATATGTACATTCGCCGTCGCGTGTGACCGATGAATTTGTCTCGCGAGTTTAGTCCCGAGTGCCCGACGAACGCGAGCCCGAAGAGGAGTCGTTTGCCGTCCAGTGTCCATGTAAAATCATTCACTAGAACTGCCAACCCTCTCCCCCGCTCCTCCGTTATATAGTTGGTTAGTTTCGTTCGTGTGTTCGTTTTGATTAGTGTTGTGGCTCTCACCCGTTTCTCTCTTTCTCTCTCTTTCTCTGAAAAAAAATCACGCTCCGCGCGCGATTGCTCTCTTTCTTCTGTCTATTTCTCTCTTTAGTCTCTTCACTCTCTCCTTCTTTCTCTCTCACTCTTTTAAGAAAGCGCACGTATTCGAATGCGCATTTTGTTGGTTATGTTTCCCGTTACATTTCGCACATAGCCCCGTTTATAAACGCGTGCTTTCTTCTTTATGCACGTGTAAGTATGTATGTGTGTGCACGCATCTGGTCACGAAACAGATAGGAGAAAGATAAAAAAAAAGAAAGAGAGAGAAGCGGAGAAAGAGAGGACAGTACTGTAAATGACATAGTAGTGCGTGTACGTATAAAGTAAAAAATGCATAAGTTAAGACTACCTGTCAAGGTCGAATTGCCCAGTGCTTTAACAAGGTATGGCGAGACCTAATTTACAGATACCATATATTATTTCTTTTATCAATATACGCTGTGTCATGTGACACGTCGGGTTTATGTTTAAGTTTTGGATACATGATTCTGGGTATTAAAACTTATCTTACGTATAAGTCATTCTCTTCTTTGATCACGCAGTGTATTTATCTGTTTTCTTTTCATATGCTCACATTTGCAATTTACTTATTTATTTATGATAGATGCTATATATTTATTTTTAAATAAAAAATTAAAATAAATTTTTTAATATCTAAATAGAGAAGTTTTCATAATAAAAAAGATTATAATGTAAGTTTTGTATAAATTATAAAAATGAAATTATTTCGATTAAAATAAATAAAAAAATATTTGATCTTAAATCAGAAAATTAATTAGTTTATTTCAGTCTTAATTTTAATAAAAATCTATATTAGGAATATCATTAAAAATAAAACATTAGAACTACTGCTCAACATGTTGACATCATTAATATTTTTTAATATTTTCTTATCTTTGATGCTTCAGGACCTCTCGACGCGAAGTATATCGCATTGTCACGCGCATAGGAAAGTTATTTATATATCTAGATTTGTGCGTTTCGCGCAAGAGAATGAGAACGCTTATATGAAGTACATATGTGCCATTTCGCAAATGCAAGATGGACATTGCACTGTGATCTTATTTTCTTTTTTTTTCGTGACTGTGCATTATGTTAACGATATCACATGTTTATAATATCGACGCGGCGTATTAATATTTTGCATCTAGAATCGTGGAATCCATTACGTTTAAATTCCCTTTTCTTTTCAGCATTTTTTAAAATCCAGTTTCACTCTCGGAAACGACAAAATGACTTATGTGTCTATCATATTACATTATATATGCATACACATATATGCATATTGAGAGATATCAATATTATTACGCAATTCAGTAAAAATAACTTTTTTACGTTAAATATGATTCCACAAAGTTTTCAAAGTTGTAACGCGATGGAAACCAGAATAATATTTAGCGTTAAAAAAATTACGAAAAATAGTTAATTTTTTTTGTTGAATTGTGTTATTAATTTTTTATTGAACGAAATAGAAAATTATCTACTATAGAGTACAATAATATCAAAATATTAAGTACATTTGAGAAACTTAAAAAATTTTGTTACGTACAAGTATAATATTTTCGCGTTATGTTCGAAAAGATTGCAATTAACGAATTAACCATAGCGTTTTATCATGATAAGAGCTCTTATCTCACTAATACAATTAAATCGCGCATAATTTTTCAAGTATATATTCGTCTTTTAATGTTATCGAATATGGTTTCGATAACCGGTATCGTATCGTTATCGTCACATGTCACGGTTTACGTTTATAATCGTGATTAACAAGGCGTACGTTAATTTTGTTGCAAACAACGAATTTACTTATGGCTATTCGACATATTTAAAACGGATCGTTCAATACAAATAGATAGAATATATAGTTTACAACGGCAAAATTTTTAGAAATTTACAAAAAGCCGCTTTATTAATATAAAAAACAAAAATTATCTTCGTAAAAGTAAGAGAGCATTAATCTATATACATATATTGCTTATTATGACGAGTGTATCTAAAAAAAGTTTTTTTAAATATTATTTAGAATTTTCTGGCACAAACAATTTCACAATAGTCTTGCAGAGTCACGTTCTATTTGATATATATACATGGTTTGTCGCACTTTACGTGATGATTTTCATAGTTGTATATATTGCAATATTCAAGCGCTATCGCGATAATATTATTCATTATCTCTTCTCCAGCATATACTGTATTATTGCTTATATCATACCACTTTAGCGAATATTTGTTGAATATACATATCTAGATTTATCACTGACAATAAAGCTATGTTTTGCGTGATCATAATAGGTAGCATGAAAAAAATGTATTTATCGACCTTATATGTTGCTATTATCGCATGCTTGCATGACCCGTTGATGCAGCTGTAGTTAGAGATGTCCGCGTAAACACCTGGTCATCAGAGTATTAGACATTCATCTCCTGCAGCTGGTCTGTTATAAATGCGAATGTCGCAACGAAAATGCTCTCCGAAATAATGATCTTTTAAATCTTTAAACTATATTTAGATCTCAGCCAACAATAATCGAGAAGAATTTTTTCAAAAATTTTCAGTATTCAGTATTATAAATATTATAATTTACAAAAAAGTTGTTAATATTATAAAAGAATGTATATACATAGAAATATTATATGCATACAGAGTGTAAAAAATTAATTTGATAATCTAGATCTTTTTATATAAGCACGATTTTCAACGTAAAATTTTAAAATACAAATTATTCGTTGTATTCACAATGTTTCGGTGTGCATTCAGTGTCCAGCGAGAAGACGATAACGATAATTCCGTCCCGGTCTGAATGTTCGGTGCGATTAGTCTCTCCTTCCGTTAATTGAGTCTCGCTCGTCGCGACAATCGTACGACTATTCTTATGGAAAGCAGTCTGGCTTTATATATTATTCATGTGAAAACCACATATTTTTTATATTTCTACGTCAATTTATTCGCGAAATAATTTTTCTCATCTAATCTAAACGTTCGGTCTTTCGAAATTAAAAAATTGCAACTCATTTT